ACTATAGACTAGACTATAGACTAGACTATAGACTAGACTATAGACTAGACTATAGACTAGACTATAGACTAGACTATAGACTAGACTATAGACTAGACTATAGACTAGACTATAGACTAGACTATAGACTAGACTATAGACTAGACTATAGACTAGACTATAGACTAGACTATAGACTAGACTATAGACTAGACTATAGACTAGACTATAGACTAGACTATAGACTAGACTATAGACTAGACTATAGACTAGACTATAGACTAGACTATAGACTAGACTATAGACTAGACTATAGACTAGACTATAGACTAGACTATAGACTAGACTATAGACTAGACTATAGACTAGACTATAGACTAGACTATAGACTAGACTATAGACTAGACTATAGACTAGACTATAGACTAGACTATAGACTAGACTATAGACTAGACTATAGACTAGACTATAGACTAGACTATAGACTAGACTATAGACTAGACTATAGACTAGACTATAGACTAGACTATAGACTAGACTATAGACTAGACTATAGACTAGACTATAGACTAGACTATAGACTAGACTATAGACTAGACTATAGACTAGACTATAGACTAGACTATAGACTAGACTATAGACTAGACTATAGACTAGACTATAGACTAGACTATAGACTAGACTATAGACTAGACTATAGACTAGACTATAGACTAGACTATAGACTAGACTATAGACTAGACTATAGACTAGACTATAGACTAGACTATAGACTAGACTATAGACTAGACTATAGACTAGACTATAGACTAGACTATAGACTAGACTATAGACTAGACTATAGACTAGACTATAGACTAGACTATAGACTAGACTATAGACTAGACTATAGACTAGACTATAGACTAGACTATAGACTAGACTATAGACTAGACTATAGACTAGACTATAGACTAGACTATAGACTAGACTATAGACTAGACTATAGACTAGACTATAGACTAGACTATAGACTAGACTATAGACTAGACTATAGACTAGACTATAGACTAGACTATAGACTAGACTATAGACTAGACTATAGACTAGACTATAGACTAGACTATAGACTAGACTATAGACTAGACTATAGACTAGACTATAGACTAGACTATAGACTAGACTATAGACTAGACTATAGACTAGACTATAGACTAGACTATAGACTAGACTATAGACTAGACTATAGACTAGACTATAGACTAGACTTAGACTAGACTAGACATAGACTAGACTATAGACTAGACTATAGACTAGACTATAGACTAGACTATAGACTAGACTAGACTATAGACTAGACTATAGACTAGACTATAGACTAGACTATAGACTAGACTATAGACTAGACTATAGACTAGACTATAGACTAGACTATAGACTAGACTATAGACTAGACTATAGACTAGACTATAGACTAGACTATAGACTAGACTATAGACTAGACTATAGACTAGACTATAGACTAGACTATAGACTAGACTATAGACTAGACTATAGACTAGACTATAGACTAGACTATAGACTATAGACTAGACTATAGACTAGACTATAGACTAGACTATAGACTAGACTATAGACTAGACTATAGACTAGACTATAGACTAGACTATAGACTAGACTATAGACTAGACTATAGACTAGACTATAGACTAGACTATAGACTAGACTATAGACTAGACTATAGACTAGACTATAGACTAGACTATAGACTAGATTATAGACTAGATTGTAGACTGGACTATAGACTAGACTATAGACTAGACTATAGACTATACCATAGACTAGACTGTAGACTAGACTGTAGACTAGACTGTAGACTAGACTGTAGACTAGACTATAGACTAGACTATAGACTAGACTATAGAATAGACTATAGACTAGACTATAGACTAGACTATAGACTAGACTATAGACTAGACTATAGACTAGACTATAGACTAGACCATAGACTAGACTATAGACTAGACTATAGACTAGACTATAGACTAGACTATATACTAGACTATAGACTAGACTATAGACTAGACTATAGACTAGACTATAGACTAGACTATAGACTAGACTGTAGACTAGACTATAGACTAGACTGTAGACTAGACTATAGACTAGACTATAGACTAGACTATAGACTAGATTATAGACTAGACCATAGACTAGACTATAGCTATAACATAGACTAGAGACCAGGCTGTAGTCCATTCTTTTTTCTGTCAGTGTTTTTTCTTCTTTCATGACTTTGTTATTGTTTTAATTACAAATTATATATTATTTATATAGTTTTTTTACTTTTTTATATATAAAACAATATGATTTATATATATATTTATTTTAGTTAAACTTACTTATCAGTCACTGATTACTTTTATTTAGATAAAAAATATTAAAAAAAAATAAAAATAAATAAATATACAACAAAGTGAGTGACATGTTTTAAAAGTCTACCATCATCACATGCTTCATGCAGTATTAAATAAAAAAAGTTTTAAAACAATAGTTAAACAGAATATTTAAGAAAATTTGTTTTAACGATTTTTATAAAATTTGCTAGAAAAATACAGAGATAAAGAAAAATATTATTTGATTTTTGTAGGAACTTGAAAAGTTTAAAGTTTTAACTTTTCAAGTTCCTACAAAAACTTTAAACTGTAGCAAACTTAAAGATTTTAATCTTAATTAACATTCCTTGACATGTGAAGGGTTTTTTATTTGTTGTTTAAATCTGTTACTTATTGCAAATTTCCAATTTATTTAGCGGTTTCAATACATACATACAAATTTGTTTATACTTGTTTTGTGGTCAAGATTTTTATCTTGTTGGGTTTTATTCTCATTTAGAAAAAAAAAATATTTGTGATTTAAGTGTCAAGCTATATTTATGTCATGTTTTGTTATGTTTACTTTAAACATTATCAAGTTTCTTTGTATGAATTGAATAATGAAAAAGTAAATATTATTTATAGAGAAAAATCTGGCTCAATTATTAGGAAGAAAGAGAGTTAATTTTCATCATTTCTCTCTGTGTGATCATGTGTTTGTTTGACTATAGTTTAAACTGGTTTTAAACTAAACATGCTATAGATTGAATGTCGCAGTTAACATGAGTTTATTTATTACTTAATTTTTAGGGGTAATGAGGTAAAAAATTCAAAATAAACTTTTTTTTGACAAAATGTTGTATGAATCATTTTTTCTTTCTGAAATTAATAAAAATATTTCGCTGAAAGGCGGCTTAATTTTTTTGAAAAATCTTTGCAATATTTTGGTTTAATTGGATTGTTAAATATTAGATGATTAATATATAGGATAAACTATGGTTTGAAGAATAAAAATCGAAAATGCTATAAAAAAGCTCTTTCAAAGCTTTTCTTCATAAAGCTTTTTTAAAGCTTTTCTTGAAAAATACTTTTTAGAGCATTTCCAAAAATCATCATTTTTTTTTTCAACAAACTTTTTTCGTAAAAACTTTTTAGAGCTTATAAAAAGTTTTTTTTCAAAATAGCTTTTAAATGCTTTCTAGTACTTTTCATCAACAAAACGTTAGAACGTTCTTCAAAAATATTTCCATAATTTTTTTAAATTTTTTTTGGGCCTTTCTAAAAAGAAGCTGTTTAGAGCTTTTCATAATAGTTTTAAAGCTTTTATTTAGAAATCATTTTAAAAGCATTCTTAAAAAACAATTCTTAGAGGCCTTCTTAAGAAGAGCAGATATAAGATACAAATTCTTAAAAAAAGTTTGTTTTTCAAAAAGCTTTTTAGGGGTAGCCTTAAAAAAACTTTTAGAGGTACCTATATATGTATGTATGTATTTAGAGCATTTCTACATAGAAGATTCTAACAGCTTTTATTAAAAAAAGCTTTCTACAATTTTTCTTAAAAAATCTATTTACAACATTATTAAAAAAAGTATTTTAAATATTTTGTTCTTTTAGAGCTTTTCTTCAAAAAAACTTTTTAGTTTTTTTCAAAAAAGTTTTTAGAAATATCTTCAAAAAAAGTTTCTAGAGCTTTTCTTTTAAAAAAGCTTTTAAGAGCTTTTCTTTAAATAGGCTTTTTAGAGCTTTTCTTCAAAAAAGCTTTTTAGAGCTTGTCCTCAAAAAAGCTTTTTATAGCTTTTCTTTTAAAAAAACTTTTAAGAGCTTTTCTTTTAAAAAAGTTTTTTAGAACTTTTCTTCGAAAAATCTTTTTAGAGGTTTTCTTCAAAAAAGCTTCTTAGAGCTTTTACATAAAACTTTTATAAACAGCTTAAAAAAACTATTTAGAAACTTTGCTAAGAAAAAAAAAAAACGTAAAATTTTTGAAAAAGCTTTAATGTCTTTACATTCCCCTAGTTTTTAATTACTCTCTTTTCTTTAGTTTGTCTTGTCTAATAAATTATATGAGTAAACATTGGCTTCATTATTTATTTAAATAATTTTTGATATGTTTATTAAAACTGACTACAATATTGAGACAATTTGTAAATATAGATTGCGGTAGAAAACTTAACAAAAAAATGATTGATGATTTTAGCAAAAGAACAATTGAAAACAGATAAAGAAACCAGAAATATAAAAAGTAATAGAAATAGAAAGATACAAGTGTTAAGAAAACAAAAGAATTAGGCTGTGACTATCAATTATACAAAAGCACTCCCACAAATATAGATTTTTTTTCAAGAGAATTTTTATTTATTTATTGTTTTTTCTGAGGTTTTAAATGCGACCACAATGAGTCATTTAAGTTTAACATAAATAATTTATTTTTTTTTTATAAAAAATAGAAAAAAAATCACAACAAAATCTATTTAGCAATTGTAAGGTGTTAAGAGTTTTATGCATACATACATGAGTCACTATGGGTTGTTTTTCGTTAAAAATATACTAATTTAATTATAATACTTGTAAATGGTGGTGTTAAGAAATACATTCGTTTGTGCAAAAAGCAATAGAAAAATATTTCAATAACTGGTTTTAATTTTTAAATTTTTTTATAAATTTTTACAGCTAATACTTTATACAAAAACTAAAATTTTTAACAAATTTCAAGTATTTTGTATAAAACTAAACAACATCATCTAACGGAACATATCGTTTGTTCACTACAGTTTCTTAATGGAATTACTATCAAATCAAGCAATAAAAATCAATCAAACTGTTGTCTAAATTATTAATTACACACAATACCAATATCAAACAAAATAATATAACAATAACAAATGAACAGTTGAAAAAATACAACAACAACAACAGCAACAATATAAAATCAATGCAAATTTAACAATAAATCAATTAAACTACAAGCAAATTGTGATATTAAATATTAATAAAATTTAAAAATAAACATAAAAAACAACAATTACACTAAGTAGTAGTAATAAATAGTTTAATACGCGAAAGGACTCTAGGGCTAGATTCTAAAGGGCCCACCATATGTTTTTATACGGATGATTGCAAAATTTTGTTTTTGTTTTAAATTCAATTTAATTTAAATTGTAACGGTTGCTTAAAACAATTCTCTCACGTTTTAAAATATCATACAAAAGGTAACCAGTAAAAAAAACCCTTAAAATTACACACATTCTAACAAAACCAGGAAATACTTACACACATTAAATACAATTCAAACTACATACAAACCATAGTTTAAAGAAGATCGAGAGCAAAACAAATAGTTGAAACAGTTCAAGCAACCAACCAACAACCCAACAGATCAAAAGCAACATTTATTATTTAGTTTAAAATGGGAAACACATCGTCACACACGCATGAACCTTTAGAAAGAGGCTTCACACGAGGAAAATTTGGTGATGTTAAAAATGGGGTAGGTTTTTTTGTTTTTTCTTCAAATTTAAAACGTAATAAACACTTGTTTCTCTTAAATTCGATAGAAAAAAAAAACTCTTTTTATAACAAAAATATTCCCTTACTAATCCTTTTTTCTCTTTTATGTAGAAATCCGCTTCATTCCGTTTTAGTAAAAAGTCTCCCAAAAAAATGGATCGTTTGCGACGATCCTTTCGTGATTCGTTTAGACGCCGAAAGGATCGTGTTCCCGAGTCATCGAAACCTCATCAATGGCAGGCGGATGAAGAGGCTGTACGCACGGCCACCTGTTCATTTTCGGTTAAATATTTAGGTTGCGTTGAGGTTTTCGAATCGCGTGGTATGCAGGTTTGCGAGGAGGCCCTCAAAGTTTTGCGGGTAAGTTTGGAAATATCAATAATCTTAAATCTCTTTATTCCATCCTTTGTTAGTTAATCTTAGTTTTTCCTTAGGACTTAAAAGCCTCATGTCTCAAAAAGCCTTATAATGCTTCCTTCTCCAAAATCCTAAGGCTTTTTTCACTAGTACTTTTTTAAACTTTTTAGAGCTTTTTTTTATCAAAATCATGTTTTTCACAACAAAACACTTTTTTAAGTTTTTTTTCGATGTTTCTCTAGAAAATTCAAATTGAATAGAATTTTAAGCAAATAATCCCAGAAAAGGTTTTTAAAGCTTTTTCTTAAAAATTTTTTTAAAAGTTTTGCTCAATTTTAAATAGATCATCAAATAATCTTGTTAAAACTTTTTCCAAAAAAAGATTATTAGAGCTTTTCTTCATAAAAGTTTTGGGTTTTTGTACCAAAAAGCATTTAAAAGTTTTTACTTCAAACATGCTTTTTGAGCTTTTCTTTAAAAAAGCTTTAATTTAACAAAGATTTTAAAAAAATTTATTTTTTTTTGATTTTCTTTATTGAAGCTTTGTTGAGCTTTTCTTTATTAAAGCTTTTCTTCACAAAAGCTATTTTTTTCAATTTTTCTTCAACATGTTTTGGAGCTTTTTTTAAAAATGATTTATGAGCTTTTTTTTTTAATAAAGCTTTTTTTTAAAAAAACGTTCTTCTTCCAAGTTTTTTATTGAGCTTTTCTTAAAAAGTCCTTTTTGAGCTTTTCTTCAAAGTAACTAATTATCGTCAAAACATTTGAGCTTTTCTTTATAAAAGCTTTTTGAGCTTTTCTTTATAAAAGCTTTTTGAGCTTTTCTTTATAAAAGCTTTTTGAGCTTTTCTTTATTAAAGCTTTTTGAGTTTTTCTTCGAAAAAGCTTTTTAGAGCCTTTCTTTAAAGAAGCCTTTAAAGTTTTTTTTAACTTTTCTTTATTAAAGCTTGTTTGAGCTTTTGCTTAAAACTCCTATTTTGAGCTTTTCTTCAAAATAACTTATTATCTTCAAAACATTTGTGTGAACTTTTATTTATTGAAGATTCTTGAGATTTTCTTTATTAAAGCTTTTAGAGCTTTTCTTCGAAAAAACGTTTTAGAGCCTTTCTTCAAAAAAGCTTTTTAAAGTTTTTTTGAGATTTTCTTCAAAATAACTAATTATCTTAAAAACATTTGTTTGAGCTTTTCTTTATTATAGCTTTTTGAGATTTTGTTTTTAAAAGCTTTTTGAGTTTTTCTTCAAAAAAGTCTTTTAGAGCCTTTCTTTAAAAAAGCTTTTTAAAGTTTTTTTTAAAAAAAGCTTTTTTCTTTGTACAGATGATTTATTTTTGTAAAACTCCTTAAATTTAAAGACTGAATACAACTTTTGTTACACAGTGTTATTTATTATTTGTAAACAAACATTGTCATACTTTAAAGCAGAAAAATCATTAAAAATTCATTAATAAATGGATTTTTATCAGCTTTCGTCGTTCAAATTAAAATAATCTACGAAAATCCGCTTATTTGTATGTTTAAGAATGTCTATATCTTTTTCAGTGAATAAATTTAGTACCAAAGTACTAATTATTAACTGACACCAAAACGACCATACACATATGGAAAATTGGGGGCGTTGTCTTTGCATCTTAAAAATATAAGTATAGTAATCGTAATACGAGTATTTTGTAGATTATATTTTTGTGCTAATGAAACCTTCATAATTGTCTTTTTACACATATGGTTAAAGTACAGTGCGTTAAATAAGAAAGGGTGTAAGAAAAAGGCAAGATTTTTTATATGGAATCTATTAAAAGGATAAAGTAAAAATATTTGAAATATCTTATATAGAAATTGACTTTCCTTTTATTTATGGTTTAGTTTTTTTCTTTAAAACTTTCTTGTGACTTTTACTGTATTATTAAACGTTTCTTTTGGGTATCTTGTCTGTTTCTTTTTATTACTTACTGAACAACAGCAGAAATTTGCAAGTTGAAATTAATTTGTAAGAGATTCTTAATTAATTATAACCAAAAAAATAAGAATTATATGTTCAATTAAACACTCACTTATTAGGAATTTTAACCTTGAGTTCACGAACAAATCAAACAACAAATTAATAATTTATTTGCAATTTCTTTACAGAACTCTCGTCGTCGTCCGGTAAGAGGTCTTTTACATGTTAGTGGTGATGGTTTGCGCGTGGTAGACGACGAAACCAAGGGCCTAATAGTGGATCAGACCATTGAAAAGGTCAGTTTCTGTGCGCCAGATCGTAATCATGAACGTGGCTTTAGTTATATCTGTCGTGATGGCACCACTAGACGTTGGATGTGTCATGGTTTTTTAGCTTGCAAGGATTCCGGAGAACGTTTGTCACATGCTGTAGGTTGTGCCTTTGCGGTGTGTTTGGAGCGTAAGCAGAGACGTGATAAAGAATGTGGTGTTACTATGACTTTTGATACCAAGAATAATACATTCACACGTACCGGCTCCTTCCGTCAGCAGACAATGACCGAACGTTTTGCCAACAACGAAAGGGGCATTGATACGCCCTCGGCTGCCATAACACCACAGCCGAAACCTTTTAATCCCTTTGCCATTGAACGGCCTCATGCTACACCTTCCATGCTAGAGCGTCAAGGTTCCTTCAGGGCCTTTAGCACAATTGGTAGTCAGTCACCTTTTAAGCGTCAGATGTCATTGCGCATTAATGATCTTCCGTCCAATGCAGAGCGTCAAAAGGCCTTTATGGCGGCAGCCACGGGCAATGCTTTGGCTTTAAATACACCCAATCGTAGTGTGTCACCCATACCAGAGGTGTCACCCGCTAAAGCCGGTTTGGAGTTGGAAAATGGCGGTATAGCCACCGCCGAAACGGTAAGCCAGTTGTGTCAAGAGCTCAGCCAGGGTTTGACTTTGCTTTCGCAAACCGATGCAATGCTGGCAGCATCGCCCAATGGTGCTACCGATGATCTCAATTTCAATAATAATTTGAGCATTAATCAGAATATTATAGCTGCAGAAAAACACTATCAAAAAGTAATCTCCTCACCCACCAGCATCTCCAGTTATGGTGTGGTGACACCCACGGCCCAAGTTACGCCACGTATTGCCTCGGTATCGCCGGCTATACTCAATACACCTCCTCAGACGCCTAGTAATACACCCACACTACCCACGAGTAGCGAAAAGTTAACGCTCAAGGAAGCCACACTGCCGAAAGCCGATCAATGGTTGGGTCAGGTTGTTAAGAGTACCTCACCGGCGGCCCTCAAACGAGCTCCTCAACTGGTCAACGCTGGACGCACACAATCGATGAGCTCAGTACCCGGAACAAATGATCCCTTCGATGCCGAATGGGTAGCGGGTGTCACTAAGCCATTGTCACCCGAATTGCCGGCAATAACGGGAGGTATTGCTACACCCACCACGCCAGCCAATACCACAACGCCGCTACACAGTACTAATCCCTTTATATCGCCACCTAAAGCTCCAGCGCAATCATTCCAAGTGCAACTCTAAGATGATATGGGGGAAAGAGAAAGCACATTAAATAATTAAGTAGACTAGTAAAAAGGGAACTAAAATGCATGCTGCAAGAAAAAAAGGGGGAAAGTGAAGTGTTGGACACGGCCACTTTAAAAACTCAAAACTTTTTTGTTAAGCGTTAATAAAATAAATAAATTTTAAAAACTAAACAACACCACCTACCAAGTGGAAAGCCGCTTAAAAAACAATCTACTAAACAACATTGAAATAAATGGCTGGCAATCTTGTTACTTAATTAAACGCTAAATTGATGTTACTTACATATTACATTTATAAACAAATATAAGAAAAAAAAAAAACAAAAAAACATTTAACTAAAACACAACATAAAACTGATTTAAGTTGTTCTATATATAATTTAAAAAAAAATATGTTAGAAATTATTTAGAAAAGAGATTTGCAACAACAACAAGAAGGAATTATTTTTTAGATAGACAATTTCTATAAGAAATATTGTCACAGACCAGACCCCACTTTATATAAAAAAAGAGCAAGTTTTAACTAACATAAACATATTATATAAATTTAATAATTATAGTTTAAAGAAAGAAAAAGAAAATTACTTAATTGAACTCAAGTCTTAATTAATTTCATTTCTAACAACAACAAAAACGCCTTCTTTAATGTTAAAAAATAAAAATAATAATTAAAAACTTAACTGTATTTAACAATCTATCAATTGATTAATTTGTACAAAATGTATTATATTAAATTAATTTTTTTTTAAATTTAATTATTACTTATAATTTACTTACTTATATATAAAATTTTTGTCTTTTTTTTTTTTTGTTTTTTTATTTAGACTTTTATTATAATTATTATGTTGTATTACACATTTGCAAAAAATAAACAAAACTGAAATTTAAGAAATTTATTATTATTATATTATTATTAAAAAAAAATCATAAAAAATATAAAACAAATTTATTGATAAAAATAATTAAAAATTTTTAAATGTTAATTTGATTTTAAGATTTTTGTTTGATTCCAAATTTTATTAGGAAAATATTTGAATTGAAAAGTGTTGATTCCATAGTACACCTTCTTTTACGTTAAGAATTTGGAGGTCTTTTGAATAAAAGTTTCTTTTTTTAAACATTTTTGGTCAGCCCGATCATAATAATAACAATAAAATTTCCAATCTGGTCACCTTAAGCTTCAAAAAGTTATTAAATATACTTTACTCTTCAATATAATTCTTTTTCTGTTTCAAAAGCTGCAAAAATCCATGATAAGAACTTGATTCTGTCCATCTGGTCACCCTAATCTTATTCCCTTATCACTTTCTCAACAATACTTTTAAGCTGAAGATATTTTACAGTGTACCCTGTGCGACTACAGAATGACTCATATACTTTTCAGTGCCCCAAAGTATGCAGTAAAAAGGTGTACACAAATTGCTTAATAATAAGTTTTTTGCGCATTTTTTACTGATTTTCTTGACATGCTTAAAGCTACGTTCACAATGCTGAAGTAGTACACCACTCTGCACATTGTGTCTGCCAGTTTAACTGAGGAGTTGATGATGGTGTAGCAGCATCTGTCATCATGGTGGGATCATCATTAGGCTTTCTAAACATCGTATAGATCCAATACAAATAAATTTATACTTAAAATATTAACAACAATCTGAAATAAAGATACAAATACACAAACTTTATTAGTCTTTTTTTCAGTCTTTATCTGAAGCAATTTAACTTCAGTGTTAGATCAAATCTCTTCAGTTCTAGTTCAGTTTTAGTTCTGTTCTTGCCTTGCCAAATGTAAAGGAAATTTTGAAAAATTTTGAGATAACATAAAATGTTGTAATAGAATCGGTCTGAAATTTTAATGAAGTATTGGTCTCAGGTCCACTATGAGTTCATAATCTTGAATGTCGAATTTTTGCAGCTCTAGTCCTCTAGACCACGATGTAATACCACAAATTGTTTAAAATTAAAAATTTTCGTGAATTTTGATGAATGGACCTAGGTCCATTCTGGCTCCATTTTTTGATTCAGCATGGGATTTTACCAGAAAGGTGAGTTTCCAGCCAGATTCGGCCAGTAGTTACCGAGTTTAAATCAAAAAAAAAAATTAGTAATTTTGATAAATGTAGGACCTAGGACCCATACTGCAACAAAATTTCGAATTTATTTTTTTGTTTGCTTTAATCTCGAAAACTACTGGCGGAATCTGGCTGGAAACTTACCTTTCTGGTAAATTCGCAGGCTGAATCCGAAAATGGACTCAGAATGGACCTAGGTCCATTGCTTCATCAAAATTCCCGAAATTTTTTTATTTTGCACAGTTTTTACTATCATTTCGGGAACTTGAGGTTGAGGGCAACTGAAATTTGTCATCTGAGACTAAAATCTATGATGAATCCAAAAATGGTTTCAGAATTGAGCTAGGTCCAATATTTCATAAAAATTTTAGAACAAAAATTTTGAACCAAATATACCACGAAATTTCATTTCACATCAAGATTTTTGTAATATGTGAGGTTCTTGTCTTGGCTAGTAAAGTTTTCAATAGTGAAGACAAGAACCCAGGTATGCTACAAATTCATAGTCCTTATTAAGCTTCTAATGCGCTAATATTTGTTATCGAAATTAGTCTTTAATTGTAGCTTTTTTTATAGACTTAAGTTAAGCTTTATTTATAGTGAAACTTAAGCCCTAGTTAAGGCTAAATTTGTAGTTCAAACTTAGATTTAATTTCAGCTCTTTCGTAGTCTCAATACTGCTTTATTTGAGGCTTTACGTGTAGTCCAAATAAAAGCTTTTGTTAAGGCTTAATTTTCTATCTCAATAAGCCTTAAGTGTGGCTTTATTAGTTAAGCTGTATTAAGCTCTATTTAGGCTGTATTAAGCTAAATTAGGACTTATTTGTTGTAAATCTATTTATTATGCCTAAATAAGGGATCTTTTCATAATTCAAGTTAAGCTTTTAAAGCTTTAATTGTGATTTTATTTGTAGCTTCAGTTAGCTACATATTTGTGGTCTTAATTAAGCTTCAATTGCATTAAACTTTGTAGTAGAAAATAGTATTTAATTTTAGTTCTATTTAAATTCCAAAGTTAAGCTTTTATTGTGAATCTATTTAAAGTACACCAGAGCTTTTTTCTATGGCTTCGTATATACATCAAGTAAAGCTTTATTTATAAAACAAATTAAACTTTCAACGATAAGGCTGATTGATTTTATCTTTACTAATTAAAGATTCCTCATCTTCATCTATAAATCATATCAATTTTTTTTTAACAAAATTTAATAAATTTTTTAACTGAAAAAAATATCATTAAATATATTTATTTAGATAAAAGCTTTTCAATATTTTGTAAATTTTTTTGTTATATTTTTTAATACTTTTTTTAGTTTTAAAATTTTCCCGATTTTTTTCTAAACTTCAAAGAAAAATATCAAACATTTAATAAGCATTTTATAAACTATTTACATTAACATCACTAAATATTTACACTGAACAACAGAATATGAAAAAAACAAAACTTTACTAAAAATGTAAACACTACTTTAAAATAAAAAATTAAAACAACAACAAATTTATATACATTAAATAATTTTTTTGGGGAAAAACAATTTTTATCATATATATATTAAATATAAATATATATATTAAATATAAATATATATTAAAGAAAAAATTAATTACTTATACAATGCACTGGATAAATGTTTTATTAAAAAATAAAAAAAATATATATACATACATATATAAATATACATACATTTAAAAAAAAAATAATAAATATAACTGCACAATGTACAATCTAAGAAATTAATTAAATTTATTAAATACCAACAACTACATACAACAACTAAATTAACTTAAACAAATGAAAAGCAAAATTTTCCAAAAAAATTTAAAACTGTTATTTATGTGGTCATTCAAAACATTCATATAAAATTAAAAATTACAACAAATTTAAAACATATTTAATGAAAAAAAATCAAAACAAAAGTTTTACATCAATCAATCAATTTAATCTAAAATGTAATAAATAATTAATTAATTTATTGTTTACATTAAAACACTCAACTACATATTTATACATACCTACAACATTCATCTGTGCTTATGTATTAGTTAATAAAATTCTGTGATTAGTAAAAAAAAAAATATTAAATAAAATATTTAAACTTATAAAAACAAATATCATTTAATTTTTTGCAAAAATTATATTTCAAATATTTTTTAATAATTTTTTTTTGAAAAAATAAATACAAAAAACGAAGGTTTGTTCCCTTAGACTACAAGAATTATAAAAATATAGATTACGCATTGCGCAGGTTTTTTTGGTTTAAATCAACAGGTGTTCGATGTGCTACGTCACATCAGCAAATAAAGTGATTGACGTTTAAAAAAAAATTTAAAAAATTTTAAAAACGTTACAAAATTTTGTAAAAATTTAAAAAAATAAAATACTTTAAATATGAAATGCGCTGTGAAAAATTGCAAAAGCACCAACAACTCCAAGGCGTGCGAAATTAGTTTTTTTTTATTTCCGACGGACGCTTCCATTCAGAAGCAATGGGTAAGTTTTTGTGACCGTGAGAAACAAATAAATCCCAAAACATCATATGTATGCATGCTACATTTTAAAGATGAAGATGTGGAAAATAGGTTGCAGTACGAAATGGGTGGGATATATAACATTGATTAAAAAAAATATTTATAAAAATATGCATTAACCCAAGGGTTCGCCAAAAGGAGACTTTTAAAACCCGGTACTGTTCCATCCATAAAACATGACCCATTTGAAAATAAAGAACTAGGCGAAGAACAATTATCAATAATTGAACAACAAGAAAACAAAAAGATGGTAGCTTTAATTCTCCAAGAATATAATTGCATTAAAAATATAGAACAAAAAGAAAATATCACCGATGACGTCCAAAATCTCGGGAATTTTAAAACAATTATTGAAGACATTGGTTCCGAAAATATTCAACCATATTTATGTATGGAAGAACTTAAACATTTAAGGACCGAGGTGTAAGTAGCGTTGGTATTCATTCAAAATTTATAGACAATGACTTTTTAATTTAAAGACAAAATCTTCGGAATGAAAACAAACTTTTAAAAAGCGATAATTACACACAAATAAGCAGTCATCACCAGGAAATTTTAGTACTAAAACAATTACACCAAAAGGACGTTGAAGAGTTGAAAACTCAGATAAAAAAAACAAATTACGAGCTTGAAAATATAGAGCAAAAACTTTCAGTAATATTCACTCGCGGACAAATAGCAAAACTAAAGAATGGCATGAAAAGACAATTATGGACTGAAGAAGATATAACGCAGTCAATAACGTTGTACGCCGCAAGTGCAAAGCTATACAAACTTTTATACCGCAAACATTTTCCTCTTCCGTCAGTTCGTACTTTACA